TCCAATTCATTCAGAGACAGAAATTGTGAATCATCTATGGTGTGATGCTTGTAGTGAGAATTCTTCTCCTGATGAACTTGGGAACACAACACATAATGAGTATTAAACATTGGTTGTCAGAACCAAAGGTGGCTTTTTTTTTGTTTCCTCTGGGATATTAACATTTTTATTTTAATTCCAATCCCATGGAATGCATTTCTTTGTATTTCTATTCATAGAATGCCCAGAAATTTCTAGTATAGAGATTCTATTTTATTATTTCTTGCAAAGTGCCTTTCAAAACCTTGCTTTTTACCAATGGTTTCATAGGTGTTGGTACACATATGCTTTTCACCTGAGATGAATGACAACTAAATTTCTATCCTACACCATTTTATCACAAACTACTATATCATGTTTCATGGTTTAGAGACAAAGTACGATTGTTCAACTATATATACCTTCCAGTATATTTTTTTGCCTGTGGAATGATAATTAATATTTATATTGCCAATATTGAGTGCCTCTTGCTTTAATTGAATCCAGAGAGTTGACTATGATTAGTGCACTACATTTTATTAGGATCTATAAAGTCTCATTTCTAATTCATATTTCTGTATATATTAAGCATTTAAACCAAATGCAAAGGTCATACTAGACTAAAATCTTCCTCATATTTGTTATTCATTGAATAGTGATTTCCTGTGGTTTTGGTTGGAACATAATGCTTATTTCAATTCTGTTGTTTATTCTGTATAAGTTATTCCCACTTGGTAAGTTAATCTCCTTTGCAACACCATGTGCAAATTGATCTTAGTATAACCAGATAAAATTTGTCATTTCAATCGTATTCTTCAGGAATGTCTGCTGTTTGATGTACAATTTGTTACCAAGTAGTACAAAAATATTCTTTTGTTGTTGAAAATGTTCCATTTGTTTTCTTTCAGATTTAAACAAGAACTGAATCTTTATATGGTATCAGTGGTGATTGATGTTGTGTCTTCTTCAATATGATCAGGATATACTAGTTGATCCTGAAAAATGATTGATTTATGCATTCTATCCACTGCTCACTTTTCATTGCTTCTCCCAGGGTATCACCATCTGATCTTTAATGACGACTTCTCTAAGAAAATCGGGTGGGAATTTTCCCCATGAACATATGCATCTTCTTGTCTTTGCCAATTCCTATGGCTGTTGCTGTGTTTCCAGGATAATCTCAATCTCCTAGCTCAAGAGTTCCTCCTGCCTGAGCCTCCCGAGTCACAGTGTCTGGCTACAAAAATATAAATGAGTCATTTCACTCATAGAAACCAAACTGTAATGTGCTGGATGACAGAATGGCCTACAGGGACATGGCAATAGGATTGATGTTCTTATCACAAATAACAGTTGGAATTCTGGGAAATTACTTTCTTCTTTACTATCTAGTCCTCTCCTGCAACAAGTGCCCATTAAGGTCCAAGGATTTGATCCTCAAGCACCTGAGTATAGCCAATTCCCTTGTTATTCTCTCTAATGGAGTTCCCCAGACAATGACAGCCTTGGGGTTGAAATATTTCTTCAATAACCTTGGATGCAAACTCATCCTATACATGCAGCGAGTGGGCAGGAGTGTGTCCATTTTCATCACCTGCCTCTTGAGCATCTTCCAGAACATCACSRTCAGCCCCAKGAACTCCTGTTGGAGGGATCTYAAAGTAWTAGCTCCAAAGCACATTRGCTTCTCTGTATCCYTCTGCTGGTTACTTTATATGATGGTAAATTCCATGTTTCCTCTTTATGTGCTTAGCAAATGCAGTACTGAAAACACAACAGAGAAAACAGATTATGGGTATTGTTCTATTGTGGGTCGAGACAAAATCATAGAGTCATTATATGCAGCATTATTTGTATTTCCTGAAGTTGTCTTTTCCATGCTCATGATCTGGTCCAGTGGCTCCATGGTTCTCCTTCTGTACAGGCACAAGCAGAGGGTTCAGCACATTCACAGCATCAAACTTTCCCCCAGATCCTGCCCTGAGTCCAGAGCCACCCAGAGAATCCTCATCCTGGTGGGCTCCTTTCTGTGTTTCCACACGCTCTCCTCCATATTAAATGTTAATGTTGCCCATCATTTTAATCCCAGTTGGTGGTTGGTGAACACCAATGCCCTGATCTCCATGTGTTTTCCCACTGCGAGTCCCTTTCTTATGATACATGACTCCACAGTATCCAAGGACTGTTTCAACTGGATAAAGAAGAAAATTATTTTTGTCTAATGTACATAAATTTTTAATTATTGCACAATGCCTAATTTTTTAGTTATACATCACCCTCACAACAGAGAAACCTGGAAGGGTCACTTGTCTCTCTATTGTAACCCTAATGGATATTGGGGTCCACAGCTGKCTGACTATGGGACASMTGTCTGACTATGGGACATATATGAGCTTCATGGAGGGGATTGACCTTGTGTTCTCATCCTGATGCAACAATCCTTTGAGAGTAACCATTATTTTTGATGCTGGGGCACACTCAATAGATTCATTAAAGTGAGTTAAATCACAATTGTTAAACAAGGGTTGGACTGCTCCAAACTCTGCCAGACACAAATACAGAGGAAAAATGAGTGGTGGATATTGCTAAAGGACAATTCTTCATGTATTTCTTGTGAATGTTTTCATCTTATTGAAAGCTTCTGTTGTTAGCTTGAAGTCTGTTGCAGCAGGAGCCTTGGGAGAATAGGATATACAGTTTACATTTCTGTAACAGAATTTTTTTTTTACAAATGGAAATAAAGGTAACATCCCACTCTGGCGAAATGGTGAGGTGGGTTTTTTAGCTGTTCTGTTTCCCTGCATGCAGGGAACCTCAGGTGTGGCCAAACTCCTTTCCTGTGCAGCATCCCCCTCGSCCACTCCACACCACCCAGACTGCAGTTGGTTGGCAGAACAGTGCTCCTGCTGCCTGCTATGCCCCAGGAAAGGAAGAAGTGCCTGGGGTCTTCCCTCGAGATTGCACCTCTCTACTGGCATCTATTCAAGACTTGCAGCATGATCTCACACTTTCAAACTCTGGGCAATAAAACACAACTATGATACAAAATAAGTAGAGAGATGCTTAGCTCTTCCATCCAAATCTTGTATTTGTTACTTTCTAAATCACAGTCATTTTTGTTAGAGAATTTTTTAATATTTATTTTTTAGTTTTTTGGCAGACACAACATCTTTATTTGTATGTGGTGCTGAGGATCGAACCTGGGCCGCACGCATGCCAGGTGAGCTCGCTACCGCTTGAGCCACATCCCCAGTCCATCATCATTATACAGAATACATGTACGATGTTGTGAGGAGAAAAAGAAAAAAAAAGTGTGTCACATTAGATTGGATAAAGAGAAATGATGGGAGGGGAGGGGAGGGGAAGGGGATAGGAAGAGCAGCAGAATAGAATAGACATTACGATTGCTGTGTGTATATAGGTGACTCTTTGACCAGTGCGATTCTACAATCTGTACAATCAGAAAAATGAGAAATTATACCCCGGTTTTTTCAAATGTATGAATTGCCAATATCATTGTCATGTCATGTATAGCTAATAAAAAAAAAGAAAAAAAGATATCATCAACACAGTCCCTTGCCTGAGGGAGCAGAGAGAAAGCTGCTAGAAGCACCTTCAGAGTCACTTTCTTTTTCTCGGAAATGGAAAGTACTTGTGTTACCAAGGCCTTTTCCTGTTGGGACTCTCTTTCTTTGACAATGGTGTTTTGCTGACCATTAAAGGGATGACTTCTTTGAAAAAAATAAATCACAATCATCTTATGTAGTTAGGCTGGGTTGTACACAGGAAGACCAAAAGATCCTTGCACGGCAGACAGTGCTCAGTAGAATGTCAGTTGTTGGTGGCAGTAGGGATATGAGACGAATCACAGCAGGAACAATGGGTGGAACACTGCCTCTGGACAAGTGGGTGAAGAGAGAGTCCTAATGGGCACACATTCCTAGAGGACCTTTGGAGGTAAAGCTCATTATTATACAGGATATAAATTTATTTTCCCTTGATTGCCCTGATAAATCTATTCTTATCACCCATGGTATATCTTCTAAAAATGCCACAGAAGAAAGCATTTTTTGTGAATGCATCTATGAGGAATATTTGAGAGAGCTACAATTTTTTTTTATAATCTTAGCTTCTGTAAGAGAATATTAGCTCATGGAAAAGGCTGAATTGAGCATAGAAGAGATCCAGATAAGTGAATGACTTAAGTATTAGCATAAATTCCATGGAATATGCTAGTATTTCCAGGTTATCAGAGTGATATGGTAAAAATAAGATCTTCAGATTAGGTGGAATCCCACCAGCCAAGCCCACACGGACCCTTGGGCCGAGCACGGGATCTCAGAAGGGGAAGGAAGCGGTACAGTCCCATCCCCCACAGCGGACACTCCACCGAGGCAGTCAGCGGCCACCATCCGG